GAAATATTTAGTTTATAAACTATGACATTTATAAATGTATGAATCATATGGTGAAAAACTGACTTTGAAAAATAAATCTGTTCTTTTTTACTTATAAAAGTCTAAATAAAACAAAAATATTGGTGGTAATTATTAACTGTAACTTTACAAACAGCACCTCACAGTTCACATCAACCGACACTGTTTTTAATTTGACATTAAGCAGTTTGTTTTATAATTTGATCATTTTAAAAAACTGAAATAATCTACATTATTTGTTGTTTTTCTTTACCTGCTGAAACAACTGCGCGTTGCTCATTTGGCCTCCAGAACCGGACATGGCCAAAAAGCGGAGCGATAACAAAACCTAACAGAAAATACTAAATTATTTATGATATTAGGAATAAAATTAAATCTTATAAGCGAGACACAGCTGTTAATTGCAGCTGGAAATCACCGTTTAACGCGAAAAATACCAAAAACAAGAAATCTTCGTCGAAATTAATGACTTCCTGTTTACTTTTTCTTCTTCGTTGGTTAATTTGATCAAAGAGCAGCAGCGCCCCCTGCTGCAGAACACAGTGTAATAACATGAAATTTTATTTCCAACAAAATCATTCATTTAAAATTTTTATTTAAAAATATTTATTCAAAAATAACAAAACACATAAATACGCGACATTCTTATATTAAATAGAAAACTATTATTTTCTACTAATGTTTATATTAGGCCTAAAGTCATATCCGTTAACACTGCTGGACTAAGAGAACCAAAACTAAAACTGATGGTCTGGTTTTAAGTTATATATTCACCATAAATAATCCAAAAAAGTTTTAGTTTTAAAAAATTGTATTGATATTTATTACAATTACTGTTATTAAAAAAGTTTGTATTTTTTAAATTGGTAACGTATGTGGGGAACGTCACTATCGTTTTGAAAAATACAGAATTGATTACAATGATCATTTTTATTCATGAAATAAAAGGTTCAAGTATTTTAATTAGTCCACATGTCAGACAGTTGTTTCTCTGTTTATATGAGTCCTAATGTTGTTATAAAGTCTACAACAGAATGGTTTCTCCACACCGTGAACGCAGCAGGTTGGTAAAATGTTTTAGAGGTATCTGTGAGGTCTTTAGTGGTCTGTAGGGGTCTGTAGAGGTCTGGTGGTCTCAGCTGGGCTCCTTAGGTTTAGAGAAGGAGCCCAGCTGTTTGGTGTTGACATCCCTCAGCTGCTCCAGCTGCCTCTGGCCTCGCCTGTACAGATACTCGATGTGCATCACGTCCGACTTCTTGATACGAGAGTTCTCCCTGAACTCGTCACGGATTCGGGGGACGAAGCCCGGCTTGTCCTTCCCGGCTCGCAGGAACTGGCGGTACAGAGCCAGGACCTGCTTCTGCAGCCGGCTGTGCCGCGACATCGAAGAATGTGATCAGAGGACAGGTCCTGATGGAGACATGACGTCAGCAGGAGCTGCTCCCAGCTGCAGCAGATGTTTCAGAACGTCACCATGAAACGTTTTCCTGCAGGAAAAACACAAAACAAGTTGAGACGACGGCACAAAAACATACACAAGCTCTGTAGAAAAAGTCCTGATGTGGTCCTCGTGTACATTTACTTCCAAGCAAACAGATTTTCTTCTAATTGTTTAAAGTGTTTATTTTGTCAAAAGTTCTCCAGACTTTCTGAAGAACTTTAAGTGTTTTTATTTAAACTTTAGCTGCAGTGTCTGTCATTTTGTTTGGTTTGGCTTTGACAAGGACAAAACATATTTAAAATTCTATATTTCATTTATAAAAAAAAAGACCAAAAAATAATGTATTTTAACAAACAGAAAATACTCCTTACAACAACAAGGTGAACCATAACAGCATCATTCAGATTATATTAAGATTACAAGATAATCTGATTATTATGGAAGAGCATTGCATTCACCTAATTAAAAAAATGACTCCTGATCTCATTATTATGAGATAAGATGTCATAATTATGAGACCCTGATCTCGTAATTGTGTAATTATGACATCTTTTCTCATAACTGTGAGATCAAGAGTCCTAATTTTTTTTTATTTGGTGAATGCAATGCTCTTCCATAGATTATATCTAAATACTGTATAAAGAAATAACTGGTCTGGTGGTCCTAGAACTTTTGTGATGAAAATAAATGTTACAGTAAGACACAACCAGTGCATAAAATATGAACAAAACAACCAAAGATGGATACCTCACCTGTACCACAGATGTTTCCTGATTCAAAGCAGTTTTATCAAGTCAAACCATTTATTTAAGTCACTTTAACAAAGAAACAACTCTTAAATAGCAAATATTAACGTAAAACTATGTTCTATAAGCGGCAGCGTGACCTTAGCTCAGAGCGCAGCAGCGAAGCGGACATGAAAACTACAAAACACGTGACTTCCGGTAAAACGCAACAAGATAAAATATTCATTCAGAAATCATAACACCACGAAATATTTTTTAAGTTTAGACGAAGGATTTTACCACTGTTCAAATATTATATATTATTTTATGAAATAAATAAAAATTAAATTAAAAAAATCAATACCGGAAATGGATTTGCGTTCACTTCCGTTTTGACTTTCCGTCAAAAACAAAAATCGGATTTTATTAAAATAAACAAACCCAGGTACGTTTGTGGTTCATGTTGATGAAACTTTTCTAAATAAATGTTAAATGTTTCAAATCGACAGATTATTTATAAACTTGAAATATTTTTCTGTTTTTATTTCGATAAAGTTAGCTTCCTGTTAGCTAGCGGTTAGCTTTCCTGTTAGCAAGCTGTGAAGTAACGGAGGACTGTTTTTACCAGGATGGTAAAATAAAAAGTAAAATCTAAACTAAAAGATAGTAGAAGATGTTTTAAAATATGATCAACAAACAGATTTTATGTTTCATCTCAAATATCTGATAACAGAACTTAGTTAGTTGTACTAAATTAAACTAAAACATAAAATAATCTGCTGTAATGTTTAACATTATATATGTATCAGTTTGTTTTGTGGTTCCACCTGCTTAATATTTACCAGGTGAGTTGTGTTTGTTCAAACGCTGCAGTCATAGGTCCATGCACTTTACACATGATTAATAAATAAGTAACTACGTCTTAATAAACTCATAAAGTGTTGACATTGGTTAGTAATATTTTAGAGTGATCAATTTTTTAATGTTAAAACAGAAGTTTTGAAAGGTTCGGTAAGGTGCGTCTGTTCTCCTGCAGACATGAAGGTGACGGCGGAGGAGCAGCGGCAGGTGGAGGAGCAGGTGGAGAGGCTGCTGAGCGGCCAGGGCTCAGAGGTGGGCGTCTGCGACGTGGGCCTGGAGCTGAGCAAGCCCGCCGCTCTGAGGAAGAACGTCACCTACATCGTCTGCGGCGTCATCTTCAACGACAAGGTGAGCCCACGCCGAGCCGGGAACGGCTGGTGGGTCGGTCCTCGAGTGATGGTGTGAGTCGTCTGTCCGCTGCAGGAGGAGGTGCTGATGGTGCAGGAGGCCAAGCAGGACTGCTACAAGCAGTGGTACCTCCCTGCAGGGAGGGTGGAGGTGGGGGAGAGCCTGGAGGAGGCGCTGAGGAGGGAGGTGAGGAACAAACGCGCCTCTGTTGTTGGTTTGACACTTTGTGAACTTCCTGTGAGAACCGCTGCGTTGTGCGAACCGCAGGTGAAGGAGGAGGCGGGGCTGGACTGCGAGCCAATCACACTGCTGCTCATCCAGGAGCAGGGACCTCAGTGGATCCGCTTCATCTTCACAGCCAGGGTGACAGGTCAGAGGTCGCAGGTGTTGTGGTTAGGGGGCGGAGCCTGAAGGTGTGTCTCACAGGCGTTTCCCCCTCCACCAGGAGGAAGTTTGAAGACCCTGTCGGCAGCAGATCAGGAGTCTCTTCAGGCCTCCTGGTGGGACAGAGAGTCCTCCCTCCCCCTCAGAGGACGGGACATCCTTCGTCTCATGGAATACGGACTCAAGTAGGACGATGAGCTTGTGTTTGTGTGTAGCAGGTAAATTAGTGTGTGTTTGTAAAACGTTAGAATAAAAACACAGAAGAAGAGAAAAGCTCCTAAAACTTCTAAAACACATAAAATGATTCCTGAGCAGAGGACAGGTTCAGCTCTGACTGTGCTGCCTTCAGGTACCATAGGAATCCCTGGCATCCTGTCACTCTCCCTCTGGACCTGAGCTGCCGTCATGTGATCCAGAGGCTGGTCCTGGTGTTTGTCGGCGCCACAGAGCAGATCTGGGTCCTGCTGGTGCGAGGTAAGACTCTGGCCCCGTCCCAGTACCCACCTTCCCACCGTCCCACCCTCGTTCATGTTGAAGGGTTTGAGTGAGCAGTGTGTCCCACATTCTCCTCATCTGCCCTTAGCCCTGCCCATTTATGGTACTATCTCCGCCCTCCCGTGAAGTCTGCATATTTGCGGACTTCAGTGAAGTGTATTACCCACAATTCATTGCTGCATGTGACGTCTGGAATTAAAATGCAGACCGCAGAAGAAGAAAATCAAAATTCATGGAAGGGTGGAAAAACTAATATAGGCCATTTTTCATTTGATAAATGATAAAAGGGAATTTATTATTACGTATAAAATAGTTTGTAGCCCTGAGGATTACAGAAATGTGGTTGAAAATTTCCCAGTTTAATCAAAAATGATTTAGATTCAACTCAAATCCCGTGATTGCATCAAATAATTATCAATGGCTTAAATTATGTAGACAAAAAAATGTAATAATCTAATTTTCTGTCTTTGTTCTGGTGCCATGTTGGATGTCGCAGTTACGACGCAGWGGCGCAGGTTGATGATGTAATGTGTACCGTCCCAGTTCTCAGTTGTTTTGCACACTTGTAACCTTCGCACTCCAACACTATGTGCACTTCGACTGAATCCACACGTCACAGAGGGCAGTAGGGTGGCACTCTGACTCTTCATCTAAAATTTATTTTGGTGGAAACGTCTGCTTCCTGTCCCACAGTCCCGCTGCCCCACCTCCCCACTGCGGCGGCGCTGAAGACGCACGCCGTGACCTGGGCGGCCAACATGGTGGCGCAGGAGGCCGTGCCGTCGTCCTACCCGGACCACGAGGTCAACACGCTGGGCGTGTTCAGCGTGCAGCACAACGGGCGGCAGCACGGCAGGACAGACGGCGTGTGCCTCAACACCCTGGTGGCGCTGGTGCCGGACCGCGTGGGGCGCGACGAGGACGGGCTGAAGGTGGAGCGGCCGGCGGCGGCGGCGACACCTCCCCCCGTGGAGAACCCGCGGTATATCTGGGTGGAGGTGCAGAAACCAGAGCTGAGAGGGAAACTGCTGGAGATGAGCAGAAACTCCTCCCTGGTCCCAATCCACAGCCTGTACTGAAGTTACAGGACTCTTATTGTGAAAGGAGCTAAAGAACTTCCTGCTCAGGTCAAACTGGACCCTGATTTTATCTCTCTGAGCTGAGCTGTTGGAATCAGCACGAGTCGCTTTAAAAGATGAGTTTAAAAGTTTTCTGAGTTAAAAACCAACCAGTTCACAGAATCAAACAGGTTAGTTTTTAACTGGTTTACACGTTTATAACTGGTTTACACGTTTATAACTGGTTTACACGTTTATCACCAGTTAGTGAAACATGAACACGTTCCTGTGGGAACATGACAGCTTTTAACAACAAGTTCACGATTTTACAGCTTTAAAAGGTTTTATCTGAAACCTTCAATAATAAAATACAATTTAATCAAAGAAAACAAGCCTCAACTTTAGAACCTTCAGTATATTTATTTATAACACAAGAAGATTTTAGTCATTTTAATAAAAAACAAGTCAGAGGGATTATTTTGCTAACTGGAGAATCATCAAGTATTTAAAGTAAAGTTCATTACAGCAACACAACTTCCACAGACTTTTTTCTCAGAACTCTGAGATTAAAGTCAGAATTCTGAGATTAAAGTCAGAATTCTGAGAWWAAAGTCAGAATTCTGAGATTAAAGTCAGAATTCTGAGATTAAAGTCTGAACTCTGAGATTAAAGTCAGAATTCCTGTTTTTATTTTTTCAGTGGCCCTAATCCTTTTCCATACAACTTCAGATTAAATATAAAAAAGATGAATTAAATATAAAAAAGAGAAAAAATAAGATTTAATCATGTTTACAGATGCAGATTTGAAGTTATTTTTTATGTCTTGCATGAATTAACACGCATGTTGCACTTTATTTAAACACTTCATTCTGATTGGACCGGAGCTGTAAACACAATACTGATGAGAATATTAAAGAAATAAAATAAACTATTTATAACTTTATTAAACTCCTGATCCAGTCTGTTTTTATTTTTAACTTTTTTCTTTCGGACTTTAATTTTTCTCTCAGTTTCAGTTTTTGTTTCTGAACTTTTTTTAAAATCAAACTCTGACCTTTGACCTGAGTCAGACAGAAAAAAGACATGTTGATGATTTAAAGTTTAATCATGATCTTTAGTCTCTCGGTCAGTTTGTGTTTCTGAAAACAAACAAAAATTTAATAAATTTCTCTGATGTTTTAAAAACCACAGCTGATGATAAATAACCACCAGAGGACTCACTGTAGAGAGAACAGCTGAAAGCTAAAAGATGCTAAAACTGGTTAAAAATAACACAGAAAGACAAAAAACAGCCGAACGAGCCGAACGTTTTTAAAGAACAGCTAAAAACCAACAAAGTCTGCAGAAGTTAGATTATAAAAAACAAATCAAAGCAGGAAGTGCTGACTCAGCTTTTCAATAAATCACAGAACTCCCAGTTTATTTGTCCAACACTCGTTTTATTTCTTTAAAATCAGCAGCTCCCCTCTGATTGGCTCATGTCTGATCAGCTGACGTCTCCATCTTCACCTTGCTGACGAAGTTGTCGTTGAGGGTCTTCAGGTGTTTGTTCCGGTTCTCCAGGCGGACTAGCCACTCCTGCCTCAGCCTGAAAACACACACAGAGTCGGGTCGGGACGGGTCAGAGCTGTGATGGCCACGCCCACTTTTAGCTCACGTTAAAGCAGGTTTCATGTTGATTAGCCGTGGCGGCCATCTTGTATCACATTTTCTTCGCTCGGAGTCGTTCATGAAGTGAAGTTCTACTCGTTTATTTTTTTTTACAGAAACCTAACTTTCAGTGGCTCTAAGAGAAGTTGTGCTGAGTCGGGCTGTGGTGGTTCTGTGTCTATGGCAAGCCAGGAGGGACACAAATACAGCTTTTTTAGCACGTGGCCAGCTAATAAAATATTGTCCATTTTTCGATAGAAATATCTAAAGCAAACGATAGAAAAGAAAACACTGTAGGTATTTTCCTGGATCTTTCAAAAGCATTTGATGCTGTAAATCATGTCATTCTGTTAAAAACAACTTTCACGTTATGTTTTACGAAACAAATCATTACTTTGGTTCAGGAGTTATCTTTCAGACCGGTATCAAACTGTAAACTATAATGGGGTAGAATCCCAACCTCTTCCCCTTCAGTGCGGCGTACCACAGGGTTCCATTTTGGGTCCCTTGTTGTTTTTATTATATGTTAATGACCTCTCTTTCAAAAATTTTATTTGCTGATGATACAAGTGTGTTTTATTCTCATAAAAACCCAGAAATTTTAATAAAGGTCATTAATGAAGAACTTGACAAGTTATCCACTTGGTTTAAGTCAAATAAATTGCCACTTAACATAAAAAATATATTTTTTGGTATTGAGTCTAATATGTTTAAATCTACAATGAAATACAAATTGATAATATTTTGATTATCAGTGTTAAATCCACTCGTTTCCTTGGTGTTATAATAGATGATTCTTTATGCTGGAAACCTCATATTAGTGCTGTAAGTACAAAAGTAGCCAGAGTGGTTGGAATATTAGAGAAAATACGGCATCTGATTAATAAAAAAGTTGCAACTATGTTGTATTATACCATGTTGTACCCATATATAAATTACTATAATATTGCTTGGGCTAGTACCATCCAACCAAACTGGAATCTGTTTTTCGACTTCAGAAGCGAGCTTTAAGAATAATATTTGTGTAAATCGTAGACTTCCCTCTCAGGCAAATATTCTTAGTGTTTACCAAGTGAATCAACTTCAAATTGCTTTATTTGTTTATAGTTCTATAAAAAAGTTACTTCCCCAGCGTTTTTGTAACATTTTTACTTTTAATAACGAATTTTATCAGTATTCAACTAATTGTCTTATTAGACCTCCTTACTGTGGTACAACTCAGACACAGTTTAGTGTTTTATACAGAGGCTCAGATGTGGAACAGTCAGGATCTCTTATGGACGTTTAAGAGATTTTTAAGTGAAGAATCAGATTGTTACTCTTTAGTTGTTCTGGTTTCCCTTATGGGTTTGATTACTGAAAGTAATTTTTTTCTTTATTTTCTGTTTATATAGTGTTTTATTTTTTTGTAATGTATGGATTTTTTAAATTTATGTAATTTTTGTTATTTCTTTTTCGGAGATTGCTGCTTGTTAAGCCCCTTGAGGGTTTTTTTTGGGGGGCAATTCTCCTTCACATCTGTTTTTTTTTTTTTTTTTTTGGTAATATATATGACACTACTATTTTTTTATTTTATTTTATTCTTCTCTTTTTATTTCATGATTTTTTTATTGTGAAATAAAATTGAAAAAAAAAAACATGTAAAAAACACTGTTTTCTCAGTCAGGACTCTAAAATACGACACCCTGACTCATAAAACGGTGTATTAAAAGTTGTAAAGGCGGCGTATTTGTGTCGCTCCTGGCTTGCCGTACGTGTCTGACTGTACTGGGGTCAGGAGGATTAGCAGCAGCTAAAAGAACAAATGGAATAATCCGGAAACGCCACAGGAAGGTGAGGAAGAGGAGGGCGAGGACAGCTGACGGCGAGCGTCAGGTTTCACACACAAACACTCCCGACGAGTGTTTCTGTGTCTCTGTGAGGACTCGTTAACATACTGACCCGGACCCCCAGGATGACCTTTGACCCCTCGGCATGACGCACACCCTTTGATCTCTGTTGGTCAACACGTGTCTGCGTAAACAACCGATTCAAAAGTAAACAAACAAAAAGTTTGGTCAAACTTCATCTGATAAAATCAGAGAAAAGATCATGTTTGATCTGATGAGATGATTTTATGCCTTTAGTGTTGGAATTGTTTTGTTGCAGCAGAGATAAAAATAAAGACCAAACTGAATAAAAATTAAAAACAGGAAATAAATCAAAATAAAACAAAATAAGCAGCAAACAGCTGAAAACTATGGAAGCACAATTCTGCCACTCAAAATAAATAATTTGTCTAATGATATGTTACAATTATGAGATTCAAAGTCATAATTTAGACTTTGAATCTCATAATTGTGACTTGAATCTCATAATTGTGACTTGAATCTCATAATTGTGACTTGAAACTCATAATTGTGACATACCATTAGACAGTTTTTTATTTTGAGTTGCGGAGTTGTGTTTCCGTAGAAACAACCTGTTTAAACCAACGAGGAGAAAGTCTGATGTGTGTCAGGACGAGGTCAGGGCAGGTGGACCCACATCTCCTCATCAGTAATGAGGACGTAGTTCCGGTCGGTCCTGGTGAAGAAAGAAGTCAGAGCTCTGGGTGTTCCGGTCCGTCTTTGTTCCATCACAGAACCAGACCCTGGATCCAAACAGCTGTTACAGACCCGACTCGACATCAGTCCTTCTTCTCCAGCAGCCTGACTCACCGGAGGACCCGGGACCTGCAGGTCCGGACCAGAATAAGTTCTAAAAGCGTTCCCGGCTGGACCCGAGCTGCCTGCCGCCTTCCATCACTCATCGCTCGCAGATTATCACCTCACCTCCCCGCAGCACATTCTTCCAGCCTCTGGCCGGTCACACGTATCACACACAATTATCAGTTCCTAGAGTCGGGTTTAGAACCGGGT